CAAAGAATTGTAGTTTTTTTTTTTTTTTTGTTTTTTTTGTTTTTTACACGATTCAAAACACAGAACAAGGTAAGTTCACTCATTCCTGTACCACAAAGATAGGGCTTCAGATAGGCCTTATTCTGTTATGTTCTTCATTCCTCACACCAAAAAAAGGGCAGTTCCCTTTGTTTTATTTAGTGGAAGTTATTAAACAAAGACACAGTTGCCTTGTATCACAAAACAGGAATCTGTGCCTATCTTTGGGTTTTCTCCCATAATAAGCAGTTTCCCTGTGTTAGTTCTTCAAAATGTAGAGCCATCCGTTTCTCAGTCTCTCTCTCTAGGGAGCTCTACAGGTTTAGATTTTCAGCATGAAATCAAAACTTCTAAAGCTGGCTGCTGATTTAACTTCTGGTCTTGGTTTACAATCTGTTGGAGTAAAGGTTCTACAAGAGAGGCTAACACTAAATAAAAATACTATGGCAGTTTTTCATGGCTCAGTTTAGACTACTTACATGCTAATTTGGATTTATTTTCTAATCACCAAAGCAGTCACTGATAGTACAGGTTAAAGACACAAGTACTTGAGAACTCATTCTGAAAAGATGAGGGACTCTCCCCTCCATAATTATGACAGTGCTTTGTAATGGCAAAAGGAAAAAAAACCCGGAACATAACTGTTTTGAGCCTAAGCAAAGCAGCTTTCCTGGACAAGAACTGGGTTTATGTAATTGTAGAATTTAAAAATTTAAAAACTTTTCATGGCAACAGAAATGACCAGTCAAATATTAAATGAATGTACATAAATTCAGTATAGTCTCACAAAGTCAGCAGACAAATAACTCCAGTGTCTCTCTACTACTATGCAGCTTTGCTGGAAGTCATCAAGTGAAATTAACTATATTCAGGATTTCATGTCTTCTATTTGGAAGCTTGTGAACAACAGTAAAATTGCCTGGATTCGTGCCCAGCTTCAACTGTCAACTCAGGATCAGGGGCAGAGGCAAGCAGTAAAAAAGTTATTCATGGTGAAATAAAGACTTCTCAGAACAGATATGGGCAGGGGAATGTAGCGAACACATGCCTCCTTTTGTAGCAACTGGGAGACTTTGGAGGAAAGGAAAATTTGCGTCTTTCTTTCACCAACTGAAGCAGTTGTTGGTGAATTTGAAAATGTATTAGCTTCTGGCTAGCAGGCATCAAAACAAAAATATTTCTGCCCCGCCAAACAGGTGCCATGGACAGTAACACAAGAGAAATCCCAGCAAGCAATAGCTACATGAGAACTGGTCAAGGGCCTAGATTCTCTCCAGGATACTGAAGTTGCTAAGGCCACACCTTCATTCCTATCACTTTTAGTCTGTATGTGGCTGTATATAATGTTTCAAGCCTTCCTTTAAAACTTTTAAAGTGTTTCATCTGAACAGCAAAATGGTTATAATAGTTGTGTAGTGAGTGTTTACTAGCCCTTCCAATTTTGGGAAAGGCTAATTCTTTTTAAAACTGGGACTTCCGATATCAGCACCTGGGTTCAGATAACTTCATACCTCAAGTTCTTCACTGTCTTTGGGCTTCTCCTCAGAGGTCTGTTTAACAAAGTCAGGAATGAGGATTTCCAGTGTAGCTCGGGCTGTGGGAAGGCGATTTAATTAAAAAAAGTTACATACATAGCATGCAGTGATTTTACAGCGTTTAGGACAAGCAAGCTTCATGTTTTTCTAGGAATCTGATTCTCAAGCAGTACACTATTAGGTGAACTGCTTTCCACAGCAAAAATAGACACGGTCTTTGAACAGTGAATGTTATTTAGGAAACTATGCATTTAAGCTTGCTCAAAAAAAAGTCAACCCTTAAAAGGACATTAATACCCAGGAGTAACTGCTTCTCAAAAAGACCTATAGGGAAAGACTGGATACAACTTTTCCCATGGCTAAAGTCCCATTTTCAAAAGTGATACAAGCCCTGGGGAGCCTTAACCTTTTAAGTTCAAGTGTAGACCTAGTCTAACCATTGCTTAAGGATTTGCTAATTTTACAACAGGAAGGAAGGAAGGAAGGAAGGGAGACTGATGTGAATCCTTCCTACAAAAACATGCTTTCTGGAAGCAGCAGCGTGTTAATGCAGCCTGGCTCTGCAGTGTCTGCACAGATTGGGCGCTTCAGCAGGACTTTTTGACACTTAGCTTATTTAAGTCAACTTGAGATGTTACAGGGATCAGCAACCCTCAGCATAAGTGCCACAGCATGGCAAGCGAGGCCATTTTTTTTGGCATACCACAGCTGGCCTGAACTCTGGGCAGCTGCCACTGGCTACACAGTCCACACTGCTTTCAGCAAGAGGCTGGGACGCTGCAAGCCGCCAAGGCTCAGTGGCAGGCAGCACCTGCCCAGAGCCCGGGTTGGCTGCAGACAGGAGGCTGCAAACAGCTGCACAGGGCTCCTCAGCCCCGGCACTGGCTCTGTGGCTGCCATGGCTGTGCACATGCCTCTCTGGGCACGTGGCCAGGAAGGGGCCTGAGGCAGTGTACCCCCCGACCATCTGCCTAGAGGTGCACATACAGCCACTACCAGCAATAAAGAATGGCCCCCTGGCAGTTCTCCTGTCTCTGGCACACCAAGTCAAGACATGGGAGGAGTCTGGGGTATTTCTGGCACTCTAGGCAAAATACATTGCTGACCCCGGCACTATTACATTACATTATAGCTAATTATCCTTACACTATCCTTTTCTATATTTTCCATGTAATTTTATATTTGACTGAATCTTCTTTTCTAGAAAAGACATTACATAACAGGTTATTAAAGATGAAACAAGTGACACTTTTGTTGCTGTCTGAAGTTTCCCTGCTGTTTCATATTCCAGCCATTTGCTTAGGATGAAGTTTGATTGCAAATAATTGAAGTATTTCCCAGAAAATGACTGTTACCTGCTTCCACCAAAGAACCGTACACAAATCTGATTTATTCAATTTAAATGTAAATCACACTCATTGCTGCTAATAAGTTATTTTGCCATCTCCAAACCAGAGATAAAAGGAGGCAAGCACAGATCTTCAACAGCTGGTATTTCAGCAAGTATGTACATTACCAGCTTTATTCTTGGCAAGTTTTTTGCTGCTTGCAGTTCCTGCCCCGTAAGTCACGCCATCAATAATCACCGAGGCTCCAAAAGGCTCACTTGGGTTCTCTTAAAACGGGGGAAGAGAGAAGTTTTTTTCAAAACTCTAAAGGTTTAAATATACAAAGCCACACATTAAAATATTTATCAAGAATTTACGAAAATGGCCCATGCTTGGAGATGTATTTTCTTCATTTCAGTTTCAAGAGATCTAGAAACTGGTTTTCCTTTAAGAAAATAAAACTACTTTTCTCTCATTTATATGCAGCCATTTACAGTTTTCATCAGCAGGAACATCCCATGTATCAAATCACCATCATTCTGTCTCCTTGCCACTGTCACAGGACTATGTTGAGAACATCTTTTTTGAATTTCTGTCAGCATTCAGGCTTCAATCCCAGCTCATGTTTTGGCATCACCTATGCCGAGTTTTAACACAACAGCTTAATGCATCAAACCAGGATTTCTGAACAAGTCATAAAGCAAGACGTGCAATATAATTCCATTTTTAGTTAAATCACTTGGATAGTGGCCACCACATAGAATATTTGTAGTACATACCAAAATATGAATGCAAGTAATAAGATCACAGTGGGGTGAAAACAGGGAAGGCCTTGATTTCAACAGATGCGACACAAACAAAGCATTTAGTTGGCTGTGTGCATGCCACACTGCTTAAAGGATGAGTTCTCCCCATAATGCCTAACAGCATGCTAACATTATAACTCATGCAAACTTACCACATTCAAAGAAGTTGTAAACAGGGCGAACCTTTAGGACTCGTTGCATATATTCATGCAGTATACAAACTTCAGACTTTCCATTAGGATTAATGACAAACTCTGTGAAAGATATTAGAAGTCACTCCTATACCTTTCATTTTAAAAAAAAAAGAAAGAAAAAAAGAGAAATCCAAGAAGTGCAAGCTACAGAATAAAAATCATGAATCACATCTTCACACTTATCAAGTGAATGCTGCTTACCCATCAGACATGGAACACTATAATACCAGGGTCCATTTTTCAAAGCTATTACACCAACATGAAGCAGCAAAATAAAAGGCAAGTATGATCTTAGGATACATCAGGTGAGATGCTTCCAGCAGAGAAATCAGTATTACTGCCATAGTACCAGACCTCATCTAGAATTCAGTAGAAATTTCTGGTCACCCATGTTCAAGACAAAAGAACTGAAATTGTGCAAAGAAGGCATATTATTAGGATGATCAGAGGAATGGAAGGTGATTTTGTAAGAGGAACCAAAAATGATCTTGAGGTGTTTATCCCTAATGTGGCCAACCTGTGACAAGCACATGATAGGTGGCACAAAAAGCCTCCATGCATTGCATGTGGCAGATTAGGAAGTGGACAGGCAACACGGTAGCAGATGGGACAGGAAGCAGAGCAGCAGACTGGGCAGGGGAAGGGGGGGGGGGAAGAAATTAAAAAGTGGCACTTTGGGAGGGTGGGAAGCTATTTGTGGCACACCTGCCAAAAAAGGTTAGCCCCTTACTGGTTTAGCCTAACAAAATAAAAGAAACTGAAAAGGGGAAACAAAATCACTGTTAATATATAATCAGGGGCACAACACAACACAGAAGAGTTATTTAAGCTAACAGACAATGCAAGCACATGAACAAGTGCTTATAAACTGGCTACAAATATATTTAGTCCAAAAGTTAGACGGAAGCTCCCAACTGTGACAGCAATCAAGTTCTAGAATAGTTATGCAACTGGAGATATGGAACAGAAAAGTGGAGCTCAATAATTATGACAGATTATATGACATGGTCCCTACAACAGCTTTAACACGGTACAGGTAATTATTCGTTTTTCTCCCACCATAGGGAAATGTACATTCCCCATGCAAAGAGAGGGCAGGAAGCAGGGCACAATTGCTTCAGCACCTCAAAGTGAACCTCCCTCCCGCAAAACAAAAAATCCTTTCACCCCAGACATGCTACGCCCTAGCACTCCTCCCAGTTCCATGCTCCATGTTATGCCTGGCAGATTTCAAAGGGGGAGAAAGAGAACAAGCCATATTTCAGAGAAACTTGCCTCAAGATCTGCCAGGGCTGTGCTACATTCGCATGAACA